TTTCTATTATGGCACTGGAAACAGAGTTAAGAACTTTGTGAAAAAAGAAACTACGTCAACAATTACAATTTATTACCTCTCACTACTGCCAAACTGAAGTTCTTGTCCCTCTTCCCTTGTTTTTAAGTCTTTTCTTACAGAGCTGTAAGAGCAGTCACAGAGGGCAAAAGCCTGCTTCTTTAGCAGGTCTGAAGGGACTGTACATACCAGAGGCAGTAATAAAAATCACACCCAGAAAGCCTTTTAAAGATGCCCAAAGTAGTGATATGCGTGTGGTTTGCTGAACCATTGAGGTACTAACCTACACTTTGTTTTCAGTACAGATTTCTCTTTACTGAAAACAAACCTTATAATCTCTGTAACACTGTAAGAATAGGGCATATTTCTGGGAGGTATGGTAAGTACCAGCACGAAATGGAAAACAGACAATAGAAACACCAAAGCTTTATATTTCTCGAAGGGGGGGAAAAAAAAGCATATTACTCTTTCCTCTTCCTTCTGTTCAGAGCATAAAGAACCTCTCCAGTATTACCAAAAGTAGCAATAACACTATTATAGCAATAATACTGATAGCATTACAACCTGTACATTACCTTGAGTATTATCATAGGATTGTAGCTCCGACACATTAACCGGTCTCATCTGCTGATGCAGTCACTGCAAATTCTATTACAACTGAATAATAATCAATTTAATTTTTCTAAATGAAAATGCTTTTAAGATGCAACATTTCAAATGTTCAAAAATCCAAGTGAGAAACCATAGTTGAGCTAAGTAGAAGAAAGAATAAACTAGAATCAACTTTGTCTCTTCAGTGGGGTTTGTGGTCAATAGGACTTTATTACAAAATACCAGACGTGTTCCTCTCTTGCATAACTGACCGGAGAGAATGAGAATACCTACACCAGTCAGATAAAAGGTCCAACCTACTTCGTATAACCCATCTCCAACGCTAGCCAGCAGATACGTGAGAAAATATAAGACACAAGGCAAGTAGACATCCTTCCTTCATGTACAACTCATTTCTGAGAAAATAAATGTTGCTTCTACTTAAGATGACAGAAAGGAAAAAAGAATTCCATACACAGCAAGTGCACTCATCCAGTCTATCTGAATAAGTAGGTATATTCCCAGTGGACAATCAGCTGAAAGGCAGCTCTATTGAAGCACTTCCAGGAATCTTTGTCCATTAGTTGGACTGCAAAAACAGTGAGCTGAGGCGGTGGCCTGGCCCAAGATAGTCAAACATGGGGGGAAATTTAGCCGTTGGTAATGCTTAAGTTTTCATCAACAGACTAGAAGCCGTTCTCGTGATGGTAGCTATTAAACTTTGGACCAACTTACAATGTTTCCACAATCTCTATATGGACTTCCAAATTATGGGGGAAGAAAATCCCATAAGTGTTCATCATTATTTGTGGGAAAAATTAAGTTCCCAAGCAGCCTCCTGGTTTTCATCCTACTCTCATACAGCCAAAAGTTTAGGCAAGCTTCATATTCTCAAAGAAACATATAGGTTTGTAACCATATCCAGTGACACACACACACAAAACAAAAAGAACATATGTGAAGAAGCATACAGAAGAAATAATACAGGAGACCAGCGGGCACACCATTTTGGACACATGTTCTAAAGCTGGGTCTAAATCACTAGTTTAGGTATAACTGTTCAATGTCCCTTTAAACAAACACCGTGTAATTCAAGTATTGTGAGTGCACTGACAGCATTAAAATACAATTTGAAGAGCCAGCCTTTAGCTCTAATCCCAGAAATAAGCACAGATCTTAACTTTTTATAGTAAGAGTAGTCCATCTGTACTGTGTATGTATGTGTGAATAAATAAATTATATAGCAAGTTAATTTTAAGATTTCCTTCACAGTCTGAAATGAGTAAAATACTCCTCACAATCAGATCAAAATGTGGTCATACACTGCATACAGAAACAGTACTGAAATTAGCTGTTACAGTTGGAATCAGACACAACAAACAGTTGCATCTTTCAGATATTTACATGTTTAAATGTTGCTTCACTTAAAGATTGGAAAAAACAATGGTTTTGAGAAAGGAATGAAAATGTACACATGCAAAATACACCATCTATGGTGAAAAAAAAAATCTCATTAAATGATGGCAGAAATAAAAGATCTTTAATTTCATGTTGCGTACCATCCACGTCTGTCTTAAAAGACTGTCAACAAAAAAAAAGCAGTGGCTTATCAAATTAAACTGTTAATAGATCAGAAGTGCAAGGTCAAGTAGTTTTTAATACTAGGATACCAGTTAAAGTCTCTAATGATGGGCTGATGCCCCTACCATAACACTTCTCCCCCTCTGCCTAAGAAATAAATATAAATAAATAAATGAGAGGTCCAGTACTTTGACTTGTTTTTCCTAAATAAAAGTCGCAAGTCTTATGTTCAGGGGGTCAGGCTTCATTATACTCATTTCTCTATCAAAGAGCCTGATATCAGTGCTGTGAGAGATGGTGATCACGGCGCTGCATGTTGCTATTCCCAGAGATACAGGACACCATCACGCTTCCGTCCAACTGGCCTTGGACAGCACATTTGAATACTGCATCCTTCCATATAGTTACAAAACCTGCATTACACTGTATTTTTTCTTGTGCAACTATTGGCATACAAATACTATAAACTATTCTCTGTTAACAGTTTCCTTTCATTATATGCTTTAAGCACAGTATACCTGGGAACTCAGGTTTTGTTTTCCAACAGTGCATCAAAGTGCTGGTATGGTTATTACAAATTACAGCTGAGAGTAATCTTTTCCTTTTCATGTTTATGTTACCTAGAACACTCTGCACTGGACAGACACACAAGAGAAAATACTTTATCTGAACAATGTGTATCTAGCTCTTAAGTAGGTACTCGAAAAATGAAGTCCAGTAATGACAAAAAATTATACCGGCTCTAAGTGCATGAGCATCCGGAAGACTGGCACAGGAGGTTTGACAGAAGACGGCATTTTTTCACCTGTAAGTATGGATCCTGACTTGAAAGAACATTGCACAGACATTTCTCATGCCCCTGCACCGTGGGGAGATGGCTTTCTCAACTAGAATAAAACAGGAGGGGTAGGTATGCTGAAGCTGAATAACATCAATCTGTTCTTGAAGCGATCAACAGAGCAGCATTCCCTTCGGCCTCAGAAGAACGTGATCCAGAGGAGAACAGCTCCACATGTGCTGCAGCACTACTTGAATGTTTTTAAAATGCAAGCCTTGACCAGAATTCAGCCCATGAAGACCTCAAGCAATAGCTAAGTAAAGATCTGCATCTTTTAAAGTTGTTTCATCCAACACAGAAACAGCTTCTACCATCTCGTTAAAACATGTTTTTATACTGCGTAGAAAGCATAATAAAAAAATCCTTGCTTATTGCTAAACAAAACAAAATTAGAAAAGGATTAAAGCTGCTTACAAGACTTGATATTTGTCATTCTTTGTATTTTTATTTTAATTTATTTTTATAGTTTACATTTCAAAAGCACAGATTCTTCAACCTGATTTTAAGACAACACATTTTACAGGATCGCTTTAATCTGTAGTATCTTCCTCACTAATCCTTCGCCAAATAAAGGGAAGACTGGCAGCATTACTCCCTACAAGGTATAAAATCAGGTATACCACACACCAGTCTGCTCCCTACCTTTCACAGATCGATGCACCACCCATGAAAACTGAATTAGGGAATACTTAATGAAAATTACTGAAAAGCGTCAAATGACAAAATACTGAAGTTACAAAACAAATATTTCCATACCGTAATCAGATTTAGCTGAACTCTTGAGCAGTCAACATGAAGCTCAAACATAATGCAAGTTCTCCTGTCAGAACCCAGTTGAAAAGAGGAGAGATTTCACTGTAACATATTGATTTCCCTTACTGCTGATTAAAAAAAAAAAAAAAAAAAAAAAAAACCACCCTATTTTTTTTCCTGGGACATTTATATAGTCCTACCTAATTATATACTCCAGCAACCTAACTCAATTAAATACTAATATAGTGATGTGTAAGAAACAACTGATATATATGCAGACAGTTTAAGTAGTACTAATTACATTCTAATTTTTTTAATTCATCATAATGAGCCTTTCTTCCCATTCTCAGAATGGAGGACAACGTGCAGGTTCATATTTATATTCAGTGTGTCATATTCTCTATCTAGAAAATCACTGAAAGCAAGTACAAATTAACACACAAATCCACCAAGTTCACCATAAAGCCAAATTTCAAATTCAAACAGGGTTTTTGGTTTTGGGTTTTGTTTTTGTTTTTTTTTTTTAATTGCTAATAATCCCACAGTACCATACTAAACATTGCAGAGTATAATTGAAAAATGCCGCATCCAAAGTCTGCCGGTGCATTCTGTGTGACTCTACCCAGCCTTTCACAGTAACTACAATCTCTGAAACCACATACAAAAGTAATGTTTCAATATACAGAAAGGATATCAACAGGGTATTCTATTAGTAAACTGTGAATATACAAAGTGCTGTATTAAAAAAGCACTATGCTAACTATTAAAGCAGTTCTAAACATACTGCAGCTCACAGAAATACCAAGAATTGCCATTTCTGCTGCTGTTTAAATTTACCTTTTGATCAAACAGAGGGGTTATAAGTACCCCACCTCTGCAGTGCTCTCAAGCTACTTCTATCTCTACACTGCAAAGAGAATGTTTGGACTCAGGAGAAATCAATGAAGATTGAGCTTAAAAGACTGCAAAAAAAAGAGTCAGGCTTATGAGGTCAAAAGGGATTTAGATCAACATTTTATATCAGCTTTTACAAGGAAATTGCAGTTAATTTGTTGGTTTAACATGTATTTAATATCAAAACTTGCTATATTACACAAAGCTCTCACCTACCATTTTGTCTTGGGGCACAAAATTCAACTGTTTCTAGTAAATAGATAAATAACAGTAATAAAAGCATTAAGTACACGCTTGTTTTAAATATTGTTATTAACAAACCAACCTTCTCTTTTGAGCTTCAGAGTCTCTCCTGGCTCGTTCTAATGCCAGTTCTTCAGCTATTCTTTTCTTTAGTTCTTCATCATTAACTACAATTAAAAACAAATTAAATGAAATGTTAGTGGAACACAACATATTCCTAATTACAGAAACAACTGCATAATACAGGGCTCTGTTTCATTTATTTTCTTTTTTGTCTCTAAAGCAGTTGGAGCACTTTCTTGTGGTTTACCCACCTTTCAAATTTTAGCATATAATGCTAGAGAGCCTTTAAAAATTACTCTTATTAAGGAACTTTTCAATTAGTGGAATCTTTTGAAAATTAAAAAATTATACAGAATATGTTAAATTAAGTATATTTTTTCTTAAGAAATATGCCTTTATAAAGTAAAATTGGGGGGGGACAACAGACACATGACCAAAACCCAAATAGTAAAGTCATAAAAATGTTGCTTTTTATTTATACAGAACCAAAGGAAACATCTTCCTGTGTAATGAATCAAGTGTTTTCAGATACATATTTTACCCAGCAAAGCATTTACAACATCCTTCTAGCTTCTATTGTTTAGAAAAGAGATTTGGCCTCAAATTTTCCCAATTTTCTTTTAAGAAGGAGAGGTGGAAATAATGTTTTCTTCATTTAGTTTACATCAGATGAATTAGTTGAAAATCTGGTTAAGAACAGAAAAAGCAGGGAAGCAACTTCAAGTCTACGAACAAGCTTTTGCACAAAAAGGTAGAAAAGTATGAGAGCCATTAGTCTCACAGAGGTCTTTCAAGGTCATAGGATTCCCAAAAACCCATTCAGTAAGGTTTTGAAACACAGAACAGGTCCATTCCCAACTCTCTCTGATATTCAAGGGCTCGTCACGTGAGCTACTACGCTGATACCGTTCAATATTAACTATCTCCGCACCTACGAGCGACTGCAAACTTCTGAAAAATCTGACCCAAGGAGATCAGAAACAGTTTGTTGTTACTTCCTTTGATGGAAGTTGTAGCAATACAACATGTTTCAAAAGAATTCCAGAAGAATTCATACTGAAGAGGTTGTTTCAACCTACAAAACCAACCAAAACAAACAATGACAAAAAAAAAAACCCCCACCAAAACCAAAAAAAAAACCCCCACACCAAAACTTGGAAGAAAAAAAAAAAACCCCCCCCACCAAAACCAAAAAAAAAAAAAACCCCCCCCCCCCAAAACCAAAAAAAAAAAAAAAACACCCCACACCAAAACCCACACACACACACACACTAAAAGAGAACCCAGTTTTGGAGATGGTGTTGTTTTCTCTCTATCTAAACACAACTTGACACACACATAGCAGGAATTAAAGAAAGAAAAAAATATTAAATACCCAGTCGTCTAGTAAGAAAAAACAGCATTTTCCATTTGGGAAAATGTAGTAGCTTAGTAACCGAAAGTTTTACTGGCTTCAGCAGAACAGCTGTTAACTTTGCATAAAATATTGATTTGTAGCAATCAAGAGGAGTGAGTTTTCCTACAGGTGGAAAAGAAAACAGCTATAAAATATAGGTGTAGAAAGAGATTAAAAAAAAAAATCAAGTAATTATTCCAATATAAATCCTAATCTAGACCTGTTGGTCTGGAATGAAGGAATACCCACCTACACTGGCTGAGCTGGTATAGGCATATGGATAATTCCCTTATTTATATGAAGCATCTGGCTCAAATTTCACCCTATGGTACCACAGAGCTAAAAGACATGTAATATCACTCCAAAACACCTATCGCTTGAGCATAATATAGATGTTAAATTCCAGAAGGTGATAGAAGCCCCTCATCTGACCTCAAAAGCAGGAATAAAAACACTTGCTTAGGTAGCTGAAAACCAAAGAACGACATTTTCAGGCAATGTAAGGCATGAAGCAATTGCAAGGCAACGAGCAGTCTCCTTCGAGGTTGCATTTATATAAAGTATTTATGCATAGAGACAGCATTTGACAACTGCTAGTGGTCGGCAACTTGTGGAGATACTGGGGCAGAGTGGGAAAAGCTGTCAACCACCTCTTTCACAGAAAGCTAATAGTTACAGCATTTGCAGATACACCCTTGTTTTGTTTAGTTGGGTTTTTTTTTGGGGGGGGTTGGCAAATTAAGCTAAAGAAAAAGTGCTTTAGAGGATGTCTAGCCATTAGAAGACAAACCTGGGACAGCCTCCAGGTTCTAGTAGCCCCTTTGTGGAACCCAGTTATTTGTTTTACATTAGGCAGCAATCAGAGTCTAAAACAAATAGGCACACACACAAAAAGGCAGCAACAAATAGCCACGTATCTCAGTGACCTCGCCTCTAGGAGTTGGCTTTATCCACAAATATTACTTACCATCATTAGCCCACATGCCCATCATAGTTAATAGAGTGCAGTGTGCAATTCTTCTCAGCCTAAAGTAGACTTTTAAAATAGTGAATTTTATGAATGAATGAAGCAGCTTCATCGACTACGTAGGAGTCTTGGCCCACTAATTCACTTATGAGCATCTTAAAGCAGAAGGAATCGATATCCATCCTGCCAGATGCAGCAACTGCTTAAATGACAGAAACCGAGTTGCATTAAGGAAAAGTGGGGGGACGCTTGCGAATGGCAAGTGAGACCCCAGCCTAAAAATATATTAACATACGTGAAAATCCAGAGTTTTAATATTAATCTTGTAACAGATGACTGCCACAAACCCTGGATAGAAAAGCAAAATCCCATTTTATCAGGGCTATGTCTTCTGACTGTTGACACTGCTCCACTATTTTCTCCTCTGAGGCTATGCGAGGACGTTCCCCATTTGAGAAGATACCGAGTTGCTACAGCACACCTGTACATTTCCAAGCAAAGCTCAGCTAGTCACAGTGAACTGTATCACCAGGAGAGAGGAAAAAAAAAGTTTAGCAAAATATCAGGCAATCACAAGGATCCTGTTTCTGTACTGCAGCAAGCATTAATCTCCCCCACACCTCAGTAAGCATCGCAAGCCAAAATGAGAGCAGTTAAGGTTCTGCATTTGTACACTTAGAAATGATTAAGCTGTCATAAAAGCAAAGAATTTATTTCACATCCCAGCTACCTTATTCACAGAACAATCTGAAAACCCATAATCAAGTGTTTCTTACTGCAGTTCTGCTCAACCCAGATACCTCAATATTTCATGTCCTTTTAATACCGCACCTGAGACTACACAAAACGTTGCGTAAGTATATTGTTCACCAGCATCCACATCATGAAGTTTATTGTTCTGGTGCGCAAAAAGGAGTACAAGAACTCTAAGAGACGAGCAAACAGGTTTTTTTAAGTCATAATGAGAAAAGATTCAGGCATCAGCCGATAAAGACATCTGACCTTAACAATCAATTAGGTTAGCCATCGATCAGCCAAATACTAATAGGGAATAAAAGCGGAGCGATAGATCATTCAATAGAATTATTGTAAGATGTAAGTGGGTAGCTCCCAAATGGGAACTTTATGATGTTTCACCAAATGCAGTTCTACAAGTAGGAGGGAATTGTTCTAGGGGAAGAAGCATTTAAAGAGAAATGTTAATTTATTAGAAAGAGGATCAGAAAAAAAAAGGAGCCGTTTCTAGACAAAAGCACTAACATTTCTCTCTGATGGGAACCTCTGCTAAGACTATAAGGCATTAAAAACAGACAGCTGACCATTGAACTAGTGGAGAATATTAAACCCTGGTGGGTGCAAGACTGCTAAAATAAGCATGATCTGGAAATGATAAGTATACAGCAGTTGCCAAAAATTACGTAGCCATTCCCACCACCACCCCCTTTAGCATTTTAAGTTCTTCAGGATACCAAAATCGGCATCAACTTCATAGTAAGTGCATCCCAGAGCAGACAAATTTGGAAGATTTTCAGGCAAGTACATTTTGGAAGGTCACACTCACATCCCAGTGCTTTCTTCTGCTCCTACAAGGGTGTAAAATGAATGCAGCTCCACCATTTCCCCAGTCTGAATGTGCTAATGCACAGCTCACATCACAAGACAATTTCGATAGATGGTCAGTAATGGGAGCTATACTCAAAAAGCCATAGTGCTGCAGCCAGAAATAACTCTTCTCTGTCCTCTTAGCATGTGAAGGGTGGATGCTGATAGGTGTCTGATAAGCAGTATTCTCTTCGGGATAATGGGAACAACGGGAGTACCACCAGCCGCATTGCCAATGGGCTCATTACCATGCTCAGATCTAGCAGCAGGTTGCACAATGCTTAAAAAAAGAGTGACCAGACTGCTCCCCATAACACCACCGCTGACACAGAATACCAGTATATGATAAAAAACACAAAGCTCTTGCCTGCATCTTGGCAGACCAAGCAGTGACTGTCGACGGGACAAGGACATTTTGCCATTTTGGTGGCCTCAGGGATGCAGTAACCTGACGTTTCTTCTCCATCTGCCTACTCTTTTGAGGAAGTTTGACAGACATGGTCATTTATACCTAAAATTATAGCATAAACGCATGACATATTTCCTCCCCTTCATGCACAGATTTAACTTTTTTTAAAAGTACATCTAAATTAACCAATTATTATTATTACTGAAACCATTTTCACATACTGCAAGCGCAAGATAATATATGTATTTGGTTCGGTTAAGTTCCTCTCCCCATACACACACACACAGGTAAATTCAGCTTCTTTCATAATTAAAACAAAGCTTTAAGAGCATGGAAGAAAAAAAGGACAAGACAGCCAAAGATTAGATCTGAAGAAACTATAAATTACATCCAATACATATCAATTGGCCGAAATCCATGACCGTGCCCAATGAACAGACGAGAGGCAACTTCCAGAATAAAAGTTACAGCACTGTTATTCACGTTTTCTACCAAATCATTGCAGTTGGCCTTATGCCTTCAGACAGATGTGCAGAGTGAAAGGGTGCAAGAATACCTCTCACCAGGATGGGGTTTTATTTTTAAAAGAACACAGAGCAGGCTGGCAGTTACGGAAGCATAAAAACATTCTCTCCATGGCAGTGTTTCAACACTTTTCTGTTCAGCCTTTTCCAGACAAGGACACTCTGAGATTCCTATCCATCCAACACCCTTTTGCAAACTTGGAGGA